CTCACCTCCCGATCCTCCTCCTCCCTCACCTCCCGATCCTCCTCCTCCCTCACCTCCCGACCCTCCTCCCTCACCTCCCGGACCCTCCTCCTCCCTCACCTCCCGGACCCCCCTTCACCCTCACTGCGTCTTGCTTCACCAAACTCCCGACACCAGAACGAGCACCTGGTGAGCTCTTACCTTCAGTAACAGCTGGTATTTCATAATTCTCTGCACCGGTTTGATTAACAAATCTGTGAGTTGCAACCTATGGCCAAGGCGCTGCTTTAAGTCCTGGTTTTAAAAGAGGGGAAAAAAAAGTATTGTCTTTTTTTTTTTTAAAGGGCATTTTTTTAGTCGTTGCACACTTGTCAGAAATGCTCACTACACCAGAATAAAAGTACTGAGAAAAGAGGTCACGCTGCACAAAAACCAACTACTATATACTATTTCTCAGAATGTCCAAAGTTTATACTTTAACCTTCTTGAGCTGTTTTTCAAAACAGTCTTTGCTTTGATGCTTGTTTAAAGACTTTCTTTCAAATGCCTTTTTATTCACACACATATTTTAGTTTTAGGCTAAAAATTTAGATCATGAATTATTCTGAATGTGTAATGAGCCTTAAGTTGAAAACAGATTTAAAATGAAACAAAACCCCTATTTTCACAATGACCCAGTCTTCTGAATGCTAAGGACGCGACCGCAGACTGAATCCCAAGAACCAAACACAGGCCCAGAACTCTTAGAACTGAGGCTCGTTTCCTGGGTGACCATTACTACTTAAAGTTTTGAGAAGCTTAAATTATCACAAGAGATTCAGAAAACCTTTGTTTCTATCTTAGGTCTTACCTCAAAAAAGGTGTCAATGTATTCTGAGACAATGTGCTCAGACTTCGGTTTATTCTGACAGTAAACTATGTACATGTGCAACCTTCTCTCCTGGGGATGACAAAGGCAGACAGACAGGTTATAACAACAGGAAGCTCATTAGAATATAAGAGCACATGCACATTTCAGTACCTTCAGAAAGGAAATTTCCTAAAACAAAACTGCATGGTTTAGACTTGGGAGCACATTCCAGATTCCTGACATAGAACAGCCCACTCTTTTGTGGCTCCAGAAACAGACCTCCTTTATCACCCCCTCGGGTACTGGCAAAAACGAGACAGCAAAGGAACACAGTTCTCATTAAAGGAAGAAAACACTCCCGCCCTTCAAACCTCCAGTGGCCCTAGGAAGCCTGGCTGTTTTAATTGGGAAGAAACAGCTCTTTCGTCTCAAATATGAAGGCAGGGCAAGCGGACTGCGAGCCATCCTTCGCCTGGCGAAGCTCCAGGTGTGGTGTGCACCCCTGCGGTCCCTCAAAACTATTTCCCAAATGCTAAGTGTCACCAGCCCTCTGCTCGGCGCTACCAGGTGCACCGAGGCGGAGAGCCAACGGTGGGGAACTGCCGGCAGATCAGCAAATGTTTGTCACCAGCACAATCGCAGTAAAAGATGCCAGCTTCACCCCAGAATGTCCTTATGTAGTAATAGAAACACGTTGTGTTAGACTGAGCCACGGACAGGCAGCCCTTTAACACTCTGACACAGGGAGGCCCTCCTGCACGCTGCCCTGGCGGCCTCGGGGCGCCCTCGTGTGGGAGCTTTGACCCGACTCTCTGGCACTGAGCCATTTGGCTTATTCTTCACACAAACACGTGTGTAAACTGTGAGCTCGCCTTCAGTCTGACAAACCAATCACTAAACAGGACAGTATCAGAACGGCACATAAGCAACAGTATCACACTCACATGTTTCACAAAGAGGGATCCGAGCTTTTCGGGGTCTTCAAGGCACTTCTCCAGCTCCCCTAAAAAAAAGCTGAGAAGAGAGGAGTGTGACAACCACAGAAACGAAATAGTTGTGGACATTCCTTGTTGGGACGGCAGCTGTGTGTGGTCTATGTCCAAGATATCATCCCTTTCATGCTTGTTATTTTATTAACCTGAAAGCCAATCAGTCTGTATTGAACGTGTGCAGCCTTTGGGTTAAAATATCCCCCAGGTCTGCGGCTGTTGTGGGAGACACAACCTCGGTGCCAATATCTCTGTCTCGTCAGCAGGACCAGTTATTTTCCCCTTCCCTGTCACGCTGGGAATAGAATTCTGGGTAATAGTACCAAATATCTCTTTATAAAGTCTACAGGCTAGAGAGCCGTAAGTTAGAGCTGCTCCTAAAGCTGACCGAGCATTCATCTGAGTCCGACTGGATGAGATATTATAGGAGATATAACAACTAAGACCTGGGCTTAAAAGTCCTACATTCCCTTAGGGGAGAGAGATACTGAAATAATACAATCCCACTTGAGACACACCATGGCAATCCTCCTTGTATCTCTAGGGTGTGTCCAGTTTCAAAAGCCCCCTTGCACGTGTCATCTGCCTGGAGGGAGCACTCCTGCCTAGAGTGGTCGGGGCTCACGGGGAAGCGAGCACTTGACTGGGTTTAGAAGTGATGATAGGTGCTGTAGGCTCGGGACGCGACGCGCACACAGACAGGAAGGCAGGAGCTGCCCACACGACGGGGAACGGACAATGTAGCTGAACTGCCCACAACAGCACCAGCAGCTGACATAGAGCAATCCCTGGATGAAGGATTTTTAAAGTCAGCAGCAAGGTGACCTGAGGGATGGACGTGCAGTGACCAGCTCTGCAGGCCAGGCGGCTGCTGTAGAGTCAGCCCCGACCTGGATCTCGTTAGGGCAGGTGTGGCAATGCACCGCGACCAAATCTGACTTCCATGAGCAATCACGCCCACACTTTCCATTAAAACTGAGTGGGAAGATGAGCATCTTCAAGACCCTCTGAGTGTAATCGGTATTTATTCAGGAGGTGGCTGCAATTCCTTAGAAATATGTATCGAGGCTAACTCTATGCAGATGATGTTCTAAGTGGTTCATGTATATTAACTCGGTGCCCGTTCACAGAAATCCCACGAGGGGGGTCACACTATGACCCAGGTGTGCAGCTAAAGATGGTGGCACAGAGAGGGGATGTCAAGGACTCAAGGTCAGGCCTGGGCTATGGACCAGGTGGTGAGGCTCGGCACCCTGAGGTGGGGCCCCGGGATGGACCAGCACGAAGGAGTCTTGCGTGGGCCATGAAATGCTACCACAAAACTCCTCGGCCCATCAATACTTCCTGTGCACCAGCTGCCTCCCCCAGCTGCACAGGCAAGGAAATGCAATGACCCAATGCCTATCCGTCCCCATTCGCTGACATGTGGGGGTCTGACCGGGACGCAGTGTGCACACCACCCAGCATGACGTGGACTTTACGTACTCTCTGTGCCAGTCATAAATCTGATGGATGTTGCCAAAAACAATCTTGTCTTTTCCTTTCATGTCATCAGGAACACCATCTTCTTTCATAAGTGCCATGTAGCCCTATAATGAAATATTAAAAAAACATGTTTATTACATTGAACATGTTTGTACCAAGTGATGGTTTAGTAATAAGGGACAAAACAGACATATACCATGTCTTGTAACCAATTCTTTATTTAAAAACAAATACAAATCCTATATGGAAAGGGTCCTTAACTGGCACTTGAACAACACAGGGGTTTAGGGGTGCCACCCCCAGTGCCCTCAAAAATACACATATAACTAGACTCCTCAAAAACTTAACTTCCAACTAGCCTACTGTTGACCAGAAGCCTACTGATAACAAAGTCAATTAATACATCTTTTCTATGTTGTGTGTATTACATACTGTATTCTTTCAATAAAGTAAGCTAGAGAAAAGAAAATGTTATTAAGAAAATCATGAGAGAGAAAACACATTTACAGTATTTAATGAAAAAAAAATCCACATGTAAGTGGACTAAGCAGTTCAAACCCTTGATGTTCAAGGACCAGTGTGTACATGTAAGCAGAACGGACACTGTTCTATTCATTGCCATGGTTTTCTCTCCATGCGCCATCACAGTCCTTCTAAGGAACTGAAGAAGCTTAAATAAATGTAAATGGTTCCATAAAACAAATCATCTTATAAATATTAACTATTTGCCCAGAAACATTTCCTCTGTTCTCAGCATTTCTTATATGAACAGATTTTCTTTTCTTTTTGGATTATTTCCATAATTTGTTAAAGCAGTACTTAACTATACTCTTTTCATAGATTTTTTTTAACAATGGCTGATTAAATATGTTGCTAAAATGTGGTTAAAACTTTTATTTAACGCACCTGGAATTCAGCCTGTACCAGAATCTCTTAAGTATTCAAGTGACTTCTTTTGCTGTTAACGATGACTGTAGTCAAAGCAAGTATGGTAACTCTTTTTGTTACACATTTAACTTACTAGCCATTACTTTAATAGAATATAGACCCCTAAAGCATTGTCCCACACAGAGTTGAAGGAAGAGGTGATAAGATTTTATGCTATAAAAATAGCTCTATGAGCTGAGTTTATGGAGATGATCATGCTTTGAGCTTAAAGGCAGGGAAAAGCCTAGAGGCGCTCCTTGACCCCAGCAGTGGTTTCCGATGGCTACGCAGGGCATAGCAACCTCCGGGCAATGAAAATGGTGAGATATGTGTCCAGGAAAACGATAAGCAAATAGTCTGGCGCATCCACTGACCATTCTCTGAAGCCAGGCAGATTCAGGATGGGCCTGAATCCACAGCTGGGCACAGACTCTGTTAACCAGTGATGTTCGCATTTCTGTGGTGATACCTACTCTTGTACAATAATTAAAGGCAAGACTCCCATATAATAGTTACAATGGTTAGATATCATAATTTTAAAACTTAATTATTATTTTTTTAAAAAATATGTTTTATTGATTTTTGACAGAGAGGAAGGGAGAGGGATAGAGAGTTAGAAACATCGATGAGAGAGAAACATCGATCAGCTGCCTCCTGCACATCTCCTACTGGGGATGTGCCCGCAACCAAGGTACATGCCCTTGACCGGAATCGAACCCGGGACCCCTCAGTCCGCAGGCCGATGCTCTATCCACTGAGCCAAACCGGTGCTGGCTAAAACTTAATTATTAAAAAATGAGCATGTCAGGTACATCAGGCAGAAAGAGGCCTTTAAAAGTGAATACTGATTGTTAAGACAATTGGCTCAACTTTATTTTTCAGTAATGCTTTTTTTTTTGGTCAAAAATGTCTTTAAAGCTTGGGAGAAAGTCTCAGTGTTATTAAATCTCTGAAAACATACCTCTACCACATAGCCGAGGTCCCGCACGTAGTCACGCTCTGTCTCCACTAATTCTTGCAAAACGTAGCTAGAGAGAGAGAAAAAGTGTTTATAATCTACACTCTTCATTTTCTAAAGGAATTCTTCTGCACGTTTGCTTTTGTCGGGGCAGACACCCCAGGAATGCGAAGAAACATGTCAGACTTGTACCACAGAGTCGCCAATCCTGAGCGTCCCAAATCCAGGGAGGTGCACCTGGGTGACCCGAGGGCTGTGGAGGTCACAAGACACTTCCCACTCAGGGCGAACTCCCACCATCAGACCCGATCACGATCAGTAAAGGAACAACCAAGGGAAGCACAGAGGTAAGTTTGTTATAACGCATGACATTGCAGGAAGCAGGCTTTTGTGTTTTAATGATTAAGTCATTGTAAACTTCTCTGAACATACAGGAAAAAAACTTAACACAGAAGTGTTTCTTTTTGTAAGGTTCAGTAACTGCCTAAGGTCACTCAGATAATAGAAGACAATTACTTATCAGCAGAGCACATCCGCACCCAGTTACCTAAAGTCCTTCCTTGGTTGGTTGGTTGGTTGGTTGGTTATTTCATTCATTCATTCATTCATTCATTCAACCTGCCCACGCTGACTAAGCACCTCCCACGTGAGCCCCATCATCTAGGTGCCCGGACACAGCCCCTGTGCAGCTTACCAGTGTTCTTTCCCTCAAAGGCAAGTTTAACCTAATATTTATCAGGGCTCATTCTTCTTCTTTCACTATAAGATACTTTACTGGAACAGAGAAACCTACCACTAATATATATTCAGAAAATATTACGGTTTTGGGGACTGAATTTAATTTTATGTTGCCTTCTTTTTCTTTCACAACTGTGCATACAATAGAAAGTATAGGAGTTTATCACCACAAATTTGAGGGGATATTCTTGTCTAGAATTTATGAATAAATAAGAATGATTTGTGCCCTGGCCGGTGTGGGTCAGTGGCTGAGTGTTGTCCCACGCACCAAAAGGTCATGATCAGGGCACATGCCTGGGGGGCTGCAGCTTGATCCCCAGTAGGGGGTATGCAGGAGGCAGCCAATCAATGTTTCTTTCTCATCTTTGATGTTTCTTTCTCTCCTTTTCCTTCCTCTCTCTAAAAATCAATAAAAACATATTAAAAATTAAGTTGTATAATATACAAATGAAACAATAAAAACTGCAGCGATGGCTGACTGAGCCCTTCGGGGGCCTGAGGGCTTTTCAAGCATACATGCAGTTACTCAGAACCCCTGGGTCTCCTCACTGCACTCAGTCAGGCATGAGACCCAGCTCCAGTTCTGAAGGTGACAGTGACGGGAGGAAAGCCACCCAAACAATGACAGTGCAAACGTGTGTCTTACTGCCGCCTCTTTAGGGAGCTGGACTTCCTTTCTTCCATCTCGTCGATGGGCGAGGAGGAGGAGAGAAGCGAGTTGTCTGAAGGGTTGAAGGAGGGGCTGCTGCTGTCTCCCTGGTCAACGAGGAGGGAGCTGGGACGATCCTCCAGCGCCTGAAAGAAATGACATCCCCAATCACGATTCTGCCCAGAGTCATCGGGGCTGAAATCAGGGTAAGAAAATCTCACACTCAGGAGATACAGTAGAGCTGATCGCAAAATCAGAAAATCTATTTTTGTGAAATTATACAGTACTTAATAACAATCCTCCCAACTTTATTAAAAAACTAAGTAAGAGGAGCTGAATAAAAGAGGAACATTAGAATAAAAAAAGTAAGTTTATAGCCACTGATATTCCTTATTACAAATAATTAGAAAAATATACAACATGTTTACACCAGAGCACTGCACCCAGTTCAAATCCAGAAATTGTCTTTTCAGTTATATTCCTGCCTTTTGAAAGCATGATCTGCTCAGAAATGTGTGCCATTGCCTCGATTGCCCGGTTTACCCCATATGTCCACCCACGTGCCTTACTGTGGGCTACGTGGCAGCATCGGCAAACTGTGTTGTAGTTTAAACAAAACTTGGTTTTTTCTTGATGATCTAAGAAGCCTTGATTCATACTCTGGTGCACACAGATTGCTCAGCTAACCATGATGCCGGTCTTAGGGGCACTTGCACTTCCTGTCTGTCTCTTCTGGAGGAAGCAGGCATGCTGGCCTCAATTACTGATCCAACCTGCCCCCCACCCCACCCCTCGGATGTTAGTTTCTGCAGGTGATGGTTTTTGTTGTTGTATCTACTGTAGAACCTCAAGCAAAGCTTTACAGGTGATTAAATCTGGGAGTTAAATATTGGTGACTTCTCTCTATGGATTAACGTGACAATGATTTGCAGCTGATTGCTTTCTACTTGGTACATATTACTTTTCTTTCTTAACCTGAATTCACAAAGCATAGGTTATAGTTTGAAAGTTTCCGAAGCAGCCCCGCTGGACATTCAGAGGTGACCGAGAAGTACTTAGTGACTGAACCGGGAAAATATGCTTGACTTATCTTCAAACAGAAAGCCCAACACAAACTGCAAGAACACAGTATTTCCTACCAAATTAAAGCCTCAACGCGTGTCCTGTTTTCTCCCCTTCAGAGAACAATGCTGACTCCATCACGAAGCACAGCTTGGAGGACACAAAGTCTGTGCATGAAATTGTGCTCATCACACCCACGGGGCTGTGGAAACACACCAACTGCTGCTCTGACTTGCGAAACGCAGTTGGGGAACAGGGTTTAATGAGAGAAGAGCACTCGAAGTTTCAAATAAATAGCTATTGACCTTAACTGGCAGCGAGTGATTTGCAGCGAGAGCAAAGGCTGGCCGCCCGCTGGTTCTGGAGGTCCTGGCAGGAGACGAGTCTGAAGAATGAGGGGGGAAGCTCTGCTCTGCCTCCTGTCCAGACCCCTAGCAGCTGAAGCTCAGAATTAACTCTGTCCACTTGAATGGTGAGAAAAAAAAGGAAGTGAGAAATGCCCGAGGTGCCCTCGCCCAGGAGCGAGTGAGGTGAAGTCCTGGACTTCAGTGATGTCCGCGAGGCAGTTTCTGTAGCTGCTGGAAGGCTGTCTGGACCGAGACATGGCTGGTCCAGACGTGGGGGTGCCATCCAGAGAGACCTGGGTGCATACACCAACAGGGCGCCCTCAGGGCTGCGTGTTTTCGTCACATTTATGCCGTCTACTCCCTCAATGCTGCCCACTGCCTCATCCACGAGCAGCGTGTGAGGGGGAGGCTGCCACAGCCACAGCTGCCTCGGACCCAGGATGGCAGATTCGGAAGAATTACTTGTGGATCCCCTGCGCTTGGTGGTGTTGTGGCGGGTAGGTTCTTGTCAAATTTCTTTCTTAGACGAAGAAAGGTCTTGTAGCGATTTTCTCTTCTGAGGTTGGTTTTGGTAAATTATATCTTAAAAGCTGCAGATTTCATGCAGGTTTTCAAATGTACTTTTAAAGAGTTGAACAAAGTAATGTTATGACTGCTTCAATTTCCTGTTTGCTGCTCCCCTATAATGTCTTATTTTGTGAATTTGTGCTTTGTTTCTTTTTTTTTTTTTTCAGGTTACCTGATATCTATATTTTTTGAAAGAACCAATTTTTGGTTTTATATATTCTATTACTTTTCTCTTTTTCAGCTCAATAATTTTTGTTTTTATCTCTATAAACTCATTCCTTCTGCTTTGGTTTATTTTTTGTTCTTCTACTATCTTGAATTAGATGTTTACTTCATTAATCCCCATTCTTTCTTGTATCTCATTTTATACTTAGAACAACGAACGGAAGAAAACCCCAAAGTCAAATCCCAGCAGCCACTATAGCTGACACTCAGGGAAGATACACAGAAGATACACAATCTCTCAGGAACGTAGACAGGAGAGAGGAGCAAACGCAGGAAGTTTTCTGTTGGTTCTGACTTTTCAGACAGGACACTCAGGTTTTCGGGTCAGGAGGTTGTCCCTTGAATACTCCTGCATAGGAGTCGAGCACCTTCTCCCCAATCCAATCCATGAATACCTCGCTTTTGATGCATAAACCATTCAGGGTTCAAATCCTATCGTGAAGGTGCCTGAGCCTAAGAGATCATCACCCACACGGAAATGAACATGATGCATGTGGTGGGATAGGCAGGAGCAACTCAGAGTCCCAGGGGCCAGGATAGGGTGAAGCATATTTAAAAGAGTCACTTGGGTTTTTACCCACAAAGTAGTTCCTGTTCGTCACGGAAGGATCAGTGACAGGAAATCAATGCAGTTATGTTTCTCTTGGACCAGGAAAAAAGGCAGAATCTAGATCATGTTCCCTGGAGGATGGAGAAGGGGCGAGTCCATCAGAAAAAGAATAAGTGTGGTTTTCCCACTGGGAAAGAGAGGCATCAGTGAATGTCCACACGACGAACGCTTGCTAGGAGCTTAACAAACCCCATTGCATTCATGGTCCCAGCTCACAGCTGAGAGACAGTAAGTAGGAGAGTTTCAACCCACATCTACCCGACCCCCAAGCCTATGCCCTTCCCGCAATGTCAACAACTTTCTGCCTGTTAACTTCAGAAGAGGCGTGAGGGTGTAAAGCTGCAAAGGAGGAATAAACCAGTAGGAGGGGAAAGAGACAGCCATAGAACCCCTCTCCATTTAGCGGTCACCTAAGTGAATCACAGCGAACCTCAGCCCATTTGGAGTGGAATGCAATGTAAATACCTGCAGACTACTGACTGGCAGGTTGGCAGTGTTGCCTTATAGCATTTCTTGGGGAAACTATTTAAATTCACAGACAAGGATGATTTTCATGGTCATATAACTGATGTGTATGAAAGGCTGTTTTTAAACTGTCTAAGGATGCTTGAAACTCACTGACTAAAATGTAAGCATCCTTTGTTGGCACCATTCATCAGCTGTCTCTCAAAGAGACAGCCAGGCCGAGGTTTAACTCGGTTCCTACAGACACGATCTGTAATTCTTGATCAGTGGCATCCAGTTCTTTCTTGAGTTATCTGCCAACTCCTAGCAGCCTTCCCTGTCTAACTTTCTAACTTTCTGCCTGACTTCGAAGCCCACTGCATCTCTACCCTGCTGGTTTTAATCTGTCTGTTCACCGTAAGGCTCTGCAACGGTGGCTGTTCTAAGTTCTGTGAGCCCTTCCAGTGAACTACTGAACCCGAGGATGGTCGTGGGGACCCGACTCTTGCAGCTGGTAGAAGTGAGGGTGGCCTTGGGAACGCCCACTGTGCAAGACATCACAGACACGTTCTGCAGCCCTCATGATGAGGGCACGAGAGCAGCACACAGACAAGGCCCAAGAGCAGCACACGGACACTGCAGCGGCACGCAGAGCCTCCGCACCTCCTCCTCGGAAAGCCTTACCATCTTGCTTTTCACGAGTTCCTCAATTGCACTGACAAGCTCGGCTGCACTCGGCGTTTCGGAGCTGGTGGGGCGGACTAACAACCGAGAAGAGGCCTATGGAAGAAGTTAAGAAAAAGAAAGGGGGGAGGGGAATGCCTTATGTTAGTCACTGGACAGACAGGAAATCCTCCTGCAAGCTCAAGCTCTTCTTAAAAGTAATTCCAGACAAAAAGACCACAAGTTTGTCTTTGTTTGCATTTATTTAAAGTCATCCCTCTAAATTTACAATATTCTGACATGAAGTATTAAATAAAACCTGTCTGGGATACATGTGGAAAGCAGACAGTGTCTGTTTTCAATCCGCAGTCATGTAACATCATAACGCTTTTCAGAGAGGTGCCTGGGCACGGGAGAATCCTAACTGTAACTTTTGCAACTGCTGGCTGGGCTATTGGCGAAGGAGAAAAAAATACAGACTCTGATCAATGGAAGAATGAAAGGCTTACGGTCTAATGAGTGAATCCTTAAATAATCAGGAAACAAAACAAGATACTAAAAATGCCTATGGGTTTAAAAGAAAGAAACGAGGAGGAAAAGGAACCAGGGCACGCTGAGCAGACAGGGAGGAGGGGGACGAGCTCACCATTTCCTGTGCCATCCACTTCCCCAATCATTAGTGCAGAGTACAGAAGATCTGTGGCCTCACAAGCTATCAGGCGCCGTGTACGGCGAGAGTCAGGGTGCACAGGGGTGACACTTAAGGAATTTGGGGGAAGGGCTACTGCGTTCAAGTTCAGTAATTGGCAAACACCGTGTGTTTGCGGATTACTTGCGCTGTTCATCGATTGGAAACTAGAAGAGGGGCGTAATATGAGCCTCGCTTCATAGTAAGGGCAGCGGAGATGCATGCGACACACAGCTAGCTGTCCTAGCGATGCACTTCTCACAGCAGACAGTACGGATCTATACATTCACAATGAGGCTTCTACATGTGTGGATTCAGGTATGCACTTTGCAAAACAAATGTTGGCTTGGTCTAATGAAATCTGGAATATGAGGTGAAGAAAACAAGGGAAACAATTCAAATGGAGAGGTAAGGAAACTGAGCCAAAACAGACACGGAACACAAATCAACATAATGCTGCCGTGAACGTTTACAAAAAGAGAAAACAGAACAAAACAAAATATTAGTCACAAGAAATATACTCTCTGGGAACATCACTATAGACTTTTGTAAATGAAGAACTGCTGCTGATAATTATACCCAATGAGGTAACACAATAACCAATAAGCCATTTTAGGAAACAGAAGAATATCATGCAATCCACTGTTTAAGTGGAGAAGAAATACTCTTACTTGGTAAATAACCAGGCCTAGCACCTCCCTTTTGGCTGACCATGCAGATTTAAGACATTCCAGTCTTCTGCTTTTAAGAACGGTATAGCTTAGAATACTACGAAACAGCGTAGGGATTGTTAGAGAAATGACGCACCCCATTTCCTGATGAGTCCGCTCTGTGCAGAGGGGTGAGGTCCTCTTTCATCTCTGCTCCCTCCCACCCCCGACAGTGTAGGGTGTGCACCTCAGTCACCCCAAACTCCAGACTCAAACCCAAGCTACATCCTCCAGCCAAGACCTGCAGCTCCCTGACTGCGTGCTGACTGCCAGGAGGGGAGAAGGAGGAGGCCAGTTCTGCAGAGAAGGGGCTGGAGAAACGTCTGCCTCAGGTCAAGATTCCTGTGCGACCTGGCTGGGCAGCAGTTCATCACTGGCCCTGGCTGCCTCCTCCCCCTGTCAGAAAACAGGCGATTCAGCAAGTGATCGTGATAGTGCTGAGGATGGAGTCAGGGGAGGAAAAAAGGGAAGAATGGGGAAAACTGATATGTTTTATTCCTAAAACTTAGCTATTGCAAAAAAAACCCACAAAAAAACACACCAGTGATGACTTCACAGCACGGTTTCAGCACCTGACAATTTGGAGGAGCACAGTGGGCCAGGATGTGAGAGGACACATAAGCCAGCCATCAGGTTTCCTGTTTGATATTTTGGGATCTACAATTGGGGTATATAAAATAATTCTCAATTGCGTAAGAACTCAAAAAACACAGAAACCGATGGACTTGGCTTGGCGCCTCCGTACGTCTCCAAGGAGGGGTTTCGTGGCTCTGAACTTGGACACCTGTCCCCACACTCCAGTGTGATCCTCCTGATTTGTGGCATGCTGGGAAGAGGAACTGGACAGCAACGATCTCATGTGAACACCCTGTGCAAAAGCACCTCACAGAGAGAACAGGCCGCCTAATGCTGGACGAGGAGGCAGGCGTGCAGACAGCTCGGGGCGCCGGTGGCTGCTCTCAGGGCCCCGTCGGGACAGTTAAAGAGGGAGCCTTACTTTAAAAGTGGCAACTGCTGAAGCACCATTAAAAATGCACCAAACATATTATACAAAAATGCCTGTGTGTGAGAAACAGCACATGCCGGCCTGCTACTTAGTCTAACTGGACTTTGTCATCCCAAAAGCTTTTTTCTCTCCCTCGGCCCTTTTCTTTCCAAGCCTGGCGGAATCTGCCTGAAAAGCAGAATGTTTCCCAGACGCCCTTGGACGGCCCGGGAGTCACCTATCTCCTACAATGAGGCTGGAGCTTGGCAGCTATTGAGGGCGCCCCCATCACGCGGGCGGCCCGGGCCCCTACCTTGTCGTCCTGCGAGTCCGGCTGGAGCAGGCTGTGCTGCTGGATGGCCATGGGCGGGGGCAGGGGCACGGCGTCGGCGCCCTCCTCCCCTTCTTCCTCTCCGCAGCTCTGCATGCCCGAGGAGGAGGACTTGGAGAGCGTGCCGCTGCTCAGGCCCTCGTTCCGGCCTCTCTGAAATGGAACCAACACTCGGTCATTGCACTGTGGGTCCCCACTGTCAACGTCAGTTCACAGAGAAGAGCCCTCAGGGGTTAACCAGAAAACTACATGCTGGACAGAAGCTCAGATGGCAGACGGAGAACAATCTTCCCAGCCCTGACGGTAACCTCTCATTCCTTCCTGCAACCCAAGCGCCCTGCTTGCCAACTTGGACGAGAGAAGGGCCATCGAGTGTGTGTTTAGAAGGAACTGCCAATGGTATCTGTTAGGCTCTGAATACATCTCAACTTCGAGAGGAAAAAAACAATCACGTTCAGAAGTTTGAGCCCTAACCCTGACGGTGCTCCAGGTCCTCTGGCCCACGTTCGCTTCCCTTTTGGCACCTCCCTAGTATAAAATTCATGGGCATAATAACGGTGTAAAGAAAAATGCAATCCAACGTGCATTTTAAGAATCGGAATTAGCCCATTAATATCCCTCTATTCTTACTTTTGGAAAAAAATTCAGTTTATTTCTACTAAGAGGACACAGATTTAGAAGAAAGAACCACACACTCCAGCACAGCCCACGGCAAAGCGTCGGGGGGAGGGGGGGAGCAGCAGCAGGACACCCACACCTACAAACAAATTAAACTACACAGAGCTTGTCCTTTCTTTCCCAGCCTATGAGGGAGCTGGGTGGTTCTAGCTAAAGCCTCTGCAGGCCCCTCAGGGACACCACCAGTGCTTTCAGCCCAACTTGGGGATCATGAAAGAATTTTGAATAAAGTATAATTAACCCCACTGAGCTCTCCACAAAAGGACATGAAAAAAATTCCTGGCTGACCTACCTATATTTATCTTTGATGACAGGGAAATAATCCAGTGTTTACTACTCAGGACAGAGGTAAGTGTGAAAATGGGGGGGAAACATTTCTCCAGCCTCAGGGGCTGCTGAGACGGGCAGCTCAGGCCAGCGCTCCTGGCCTTGGCCCTGGGTGAATGACGGGGGAGAAGCTGAAGCGCAGGGCACCCACTTGCTCTAGGGCAGGCCCAGGGTGCCCTGCCCTG